AACGTTAGGACCATATTTGATCCAATCGACGGGACATTCGAGTGGAAACTAGAATCTATGGTTTGTTTCATTTTAAATCAGAACAATGATTTGAGATTACTACGAATATTGAACAACAACGTTAATCCTCCGAATTATTCGGAACTGACAGATCACCTCTTTTATGAATAGAACCAATACAGTGAATATGAAACGAGTCGAGGCGAACTTAATATTTTTACTTTCATAGGACATTATGTATTTGATATGCATAAGTTCTTCATACAGACAAATCATTCGATAGGCGTAATAAAATGGTTGATTGAAATGGGGTATTATGGATTTGGAAAAAAACGGGCCATTAAAATTAAAACAGGCCGTTAAAACATTAAAACAGACCATTAAAACGTTAAAACAAGTCATTAAAACAGGCCATTAAAATTAAAAGAAATAAGAAAAAATCGTTTATTTTTCAAATTTTCGGTTTTTGGTTTTTATGATGATGTTTCGCGTGATCCAATGACACATCATCAGATGATGTGACGCAATGTTTGTATGATGTTGAATAGTAACTGAAATAAAAGAGGGAGGAGGTAAGACACAAAGTGAAAAAAAAAGAAGCTTTTAAACGAAGCGTTTCACCAATGTGACGTGTGCTAGATTTGGCTTCCTCAAGTTGGAATGAAAGACAAAATTGTGTATAAAGAAATGTTTTGTGATTTTTGTTGATAAGAGAGGTAATAAATTAAACAGCCTTATCAGATCCAACGACCAGAGACCAAACAGTATTTAGAAAAACAGTATGAAAAATAGGATTAAAGTTTCTGCGACGCGTTTTATCTGTTAAGATTTCATCGGACTGGGCTTTGTTGACGTTGCTACGTCTACACATAGACATGGTAACATCAGATCCAGGTAGTGTTCTTGGGGTTTAAGAAGAGCTATAAATTAAATGCGCTCATCAAATCCGACGATGAGAAAGTATTTTTTTATTTTAGAGCCGTTGCTATCTGTTGGATTTTAATTATCCATGACATGAATTTTTTCTCTATTAGCTCGTATACCGCATTGTGCTACAATTGCTTTTGCGATGATTGCTGATATGTATTATCTTGATCTTAGGGCGATAAGGTACTTTTGTCAGTATTATCTGATAAAAGAACCGGATACAGGGAAATTTGGAGGCATGCCTATTAAAAGGACATTCTCTATTGATCAGTATTATATGTAGTTCTTGTCTTAGATTTATTGATTCGAATGATTAGCACATATCAAATATATATACTTAGAAAACAACCAAACACTTTCCGGTCTCTGGACTTTGGAAAAGACAAGGAATTGCTAAGTGTTAAGGATATGAAAAAAAGAAAACATTATTAAGAATACAGAAGATAACAATTGATATTATATTTAAATTTTGAATATCGCCCATGACTGGGAAGAAAGAAACCTAAAGAGAGTTCCACGAGCAAGAGATGAAACTGTTAGCATAGGACTTACGGTTGCATCTCGTCATTTCAACTGCAAAATGATGAGACCTTGCCGCCAATCTAGTACGGCGCTCAAATTCATAAAATCTAGTTACCATAGAGGAAAGTTCGTCAGAACAATTAATATGAAAATATTTATAGAGAACGCACATGGAAGCTACATTATGGTGGTGGGAAAGTGATTGAAGCTGAGATGCCAGGTCAGGACTTATAACATTGCAGATTCTTCTTTGTATGTTATCAAGAATCACCAAAACAACAATATTTAAAAATCAAAGTGTTTTAGTTATTATTTATATTATTCGGACTGATTCTTCATTGGATCTTATCAAGATAGGCAATAAAGGAAGGCATTACTGAGTGTGAGAGAATATGAGAAAAAGAAAACATTATTAAGGTGAGAAAAAAATAAATAATCATGAATTATAATACAGAAGATTACGATTGAGATTTTGAAGATCAAAATTGAGTGGAAAGCGTGATTAGGGTTCCACAAATGAAAAGTGCGAAAGAAGAAACTTTTAGCATAGAATTTACGGTTCAATTACAAAATAATGAAACCTTGCCGATAACCTAGTATTATGCTTAAAGTTTAGGTACGAAAGAGGTAAAGCTCATCTGAACAATTACTATGTAAGTATTTATATAAAGGGTTCAGGGAAGCTATGTTATTGCGGTACAAAAGTGAATGAAGCTTAGATACATGTACTTGTTAGCGGAATTCACTCGGGATCAGTTGAGCCGACATCATTAAACGAATTTGGCAAATATGTGCAAATTCATAAAAGGAGTTTTAAAGAGAATTTGGATTCAAAAGAGGCCCCCAAGCCGCATTTATAGAATGTGCTTTAGAATAGTGCTTCTTGAGTAGTGCGGAAAAACTCGCTCTCCACACCCAACCCAATTCAGTGGTGCCAGTGACGTGACGGGAGCTCATGAGAGGGAGTCTGAAAGGCAGAGGTGTGACACAGTTTATTTTAAGCTACTTTGTACGTCAGTGTCAGCTCGTCCCCACTGTCCAATTTAGGCATACCGGCTCTTCGACCCCGATAAACCGAGACGCCAGGTTATGACCGATAACATTGCAAATTCTTCTTTGTATTCTATTAATAATCTCATATACACATTGCCATATTCAAAAGAACACATGGCCCAGTGGATAAAGACGTTGATCAGATCCAGTGACTAGCTTCTAGTGATATAATGGCTGCCTATATCTCTGAGTTGTGGTATTATGATTACTTACATTATTCGGACTATTATCCTCATCTTCAAATGGCCCAGTGGATAAAGACGCTTGTTAGATCCAGTGAATGTTATCCTCATCTTCATTGCCATATTCATAACGTTTCGGCCGTTGTACGCTTTGATCTTCTCCGGGTGATTGGAATTTTGAATCCTTTATTTCGTCCACCATTGTTCTAGTTACATTTGCCATGCCTCTTCCGGATGTCTCAGTTATTTCCCTTTAACTCAATTCTCCAAGGTTGGTTCACCAATGCTGTGACCTGGTATTGAACTCTCAAATCTTTGTGTTTAGTCACTGGATCTAACCAACGTCTTTATCCACTGGGCTATGTGTCTTCAAGGACACATGGCCCAGTGTCGGTTCGAAATTCCAATCACCTGAAGAAGGCCTGGGCGTATAAGGACCGAAATATTGTGAATATAGCAATGAAGGTGAGGATAACAGTCCGAATAATGTAAATAATGTAGATAATCATAATACCGATTCTCAGAGATATACACAGCCATTATATCTCTAGAAGCTAGTGACTGGATCTAACCAACGTCTTTATCTACTGTGCCATGTGTCCTTGTGAATATGGCAATGAAGATGAGGATAACAGCCCGAATAATGTAAATAATCATAATACTCAGAGATACAGACAGCCATTATATCACTAGAAACTAGTCACTGGATCTAACCAACGTCTTTATCCACTGGGCCTTGTGTTCTTGTGAATATGGCAATGAAGATGATGATAACAGTTCGAATAATGTAAATAATCTTAATACCTCATGTCAGGGATATAGACAGCCATTATATCACTAGAAGCTAGTCACTGGATCTAACCACCGTCTTTATCGACTGGGCCATGTGTCCTTGTGAATATGGCAATGAAGATGAGGATAACAGTCCGAATAATGTAAATAATGCAAGTAATCATAATACCTCATCTCTGAGATACAGACAGATAATAACCTCTAAGTACATAACGGAAATAACAGTTATATCCAATGCTATCCAATGCATACATATACATATATTGCTTACATACTGTCTACTGGAAATACAAACCTGAATGTACTTCATAACACTCAGCTGATATTGGCTGGTGTTGACTACTGCTTTCACTGGTGGATGATGGACCTTGTGCGTCACCTTCTGATCTTTCAATCTATTTAATTTTTGCACTTGGCGAGCCTTGAGTACATCAAATTCATGTCTGAAGGATTTATCCAAGTCATTTTGGATCCTTCTCTGGTTTTCTTCATTAGTAATTCTGTTGAAGAAATCCTCGGGCGTCTGGGAGATATGAGCTTGTAGTCGATGTTTTATCCAACGATTGTACTGGATTCATCTCGGACAAGGGCATGTCCCGCTTTCTCTGCGACCCGGTGAGCTCTCCTTGAATTGATGGGAAGTCTTGCTGCCAAGCCTGAAGGGATGAGTTGTAGGTCTCTGCATTTGTCAGATGGTTCGTTATTCGTGACAGTTTCTGGTAGGATTACGAAATTTGTCTCCATATTTTTAGTATATCGGGTCTGTACCGATCCTTCAGAGTCTGTCTATATTTCTGAGATGAGGTATTATGTACAGTATTTACATGACAGGATGAGGGCTTAGCAATGGACTCGCTATTATCACCAGCAATGGCGAATATATACATGGAATACTTTGAAGAAATGGCATTAGAATCTATATCTCTAAAGCCAACTATATGGTTAAGGTACGTAGATGACACCTTCATACTCTGGCCACACCAGGAAGATGTTCAGGTTCTACTGGACCACGTGAACTCAATAAGACCTTTGATATAGTTCACAATGGAGAAAGAGAGTAACAACACACTCCCATTCCTAGATGTACTAATATCTCGAACAGAGCATGGTTTAAAGGCATCCGTATACCGTAAACCAACATTCACCGGAGAGTACTTCAATTTCGACTCCCACCATCCATACAGAGTAAAGAAAGGGATCGTCTGTTGCTTACAACACCGAGCAAAAGTCATAAGTGGCGACCCAGAGACGTTAGATAAGGAATTGGTCAGTATAAGTAGTACCCTACAACGTAACAACTACCCTGGGTACATGGCAGCAGCCCCCAAAAACTGGAATAGGCGGGTACGAGAGGAGGAGGAGGACAACAACACTCAGAAAACAGTCTGCCTGCCTTATGTGAAGGGGTTATCAGAGAAAATACAAAGGATCTGCGGTCCATATAACATCAGGACAACCTTCAAAAACGTGACAACACTTCGCAGATATCACTCTCGAGTGAGACACCCCATAGACGAGAACATGACTAAAGACTGTGTGTACGCTATCCCGTGCAGCTGCGGAAAGGAATATAAAGGAGAGACAGGCCGCCCCCTCAAGGTAAGGCTTCAAGAACACCAGAAAGCTGTAACGCGAGGGGAAGTAGAAAAATCAGGCGTGGCTGACCACATATGGAGAGAGAAGGGAGATCACCGTCCCCTGTGGGATCATGTTGAGATCATAGACAGGGAACACCATTGGAAAATTCGTAAACTTAAGGAATCAGCACATATGCTAGGCCATAAAAATCTACTGAGCCGACCAAGCATAGAAATAAATACAATATGGGAACCAGTAATAAGGAGTGCCAGAGAAAAATAATGATAACAAAGTTGCAATATGGGCTCTGGTAAAAACATGCAATGATAACAGCAAAAAATTGCAATATGAGCACTGATAAAAAATGGTTGCTGAAAACATTAGGTTTATAATACCCAGAAATTTATACCCAGATGTCCTCAAGGACACATGGCACAGTGGATAGTGACAGACCCAAAGAGTGTGAGTTCAATACCCGGTTAAGGCAGTGGGGAACTTTCATCAAACATGGCACGTGGAACTAGAACGTTATGCCCCAGTGATCGAAATAAAGCCTTCAAAATTCCAACCACCTGAAGAAGGCCGGAGCGTACAACGGCCGAAACGTTGTGACAAATATGGCGACAAAGTCCGACTAATGTAAATACTGCATAATTGCATATTAGGATTTTTGTTTGTTTTTCCGTATATTTTTCTTCATATATATATATATATATATATATATATATATATAAAGAGTTAATTGATTTTTAAACTTACATATTCTTTTTATTATTTCAAACGTTATTTCTAATAGATACTCCCTTTATTTAAACATCTCTTATTTCATTTAGCGATCTGCGCATTCGAGATAACAAAGAGCCTTTGCCTTCCGACAGGATCTGAACCTTTGCCTTCCGACAGGATCTGAACCTTTGCCTTCCGACAGGATTTGAACCTGCGCTCCCAGCATCTGATCCGCCGTGCTTTAGAGGAAAAAAGACTACTCAGAATCTCACAGCCAAGCAAAGTTCAATTTGCCTTAAAATAAGTGCACATTTCCTTTATTAAGTTTTCTCGAGTCCACCTGTCACCAGTTGAAATAAAAACTGTTTAAAAATCAGGGCATCCTACTCTAGGTACCTCCACTATTTCTGCATAAATTTTCGATATCTAAAATTTAAAATTATTTTTTTTAAATGAAAAAAACGTTCTTGAAGATTTCATTTTTAGGTTTAATTGAAAGTTCAATGATTAAATTTATTATTTCCAGTATATAAAATATTCCGGTGTATTTCAGATAGAAATTATATAGATTGAAATGTCAAATTTAATTTCGATTTCTTAAAATTTTCTTAAAAGCAGCCATTTTCTGAATGTTAAGAAATTTGTCAACAAAAAAATTATCGATTTTAAAATTCTTTCAAAAAATATATATAATTCTGAGACGTTATTTGAGTAAATGAAAATGTCAAGTTAAATTAATCTGTTTTAAAATAAATATTACTTACTTATAGCATCAAAAGTAATATACAACAATTTATTTAATGATTGGTCCTGCTTATCATAGCTTATCTGAGGCGATAATGGATGGCCAATGAGTGACGAAGCGATGACAGCTAGTATGGCTGGCTAGAATTGATACAAAATTTAAGAAATCTAAGTGAACCCATTTTTTTTGGGGGGGGGGTTAACTACCTAAAAATTTTTACAAATGAACATACTTTCTGCAATTATCTAATAATTTATTGACTTTTATTTACATTTCGAAGATGCTTTATGCAAAAATAAAAAAAATTAAAATACTATCGAATTTTCTTAAATTAATTTCTTTGTAAAGAGACATAACTCTTAAATCGCGTGACTGCTTCATAATAATGTCACGTTTAGACTTTCATCGATGAAAAAATGGAAAAAATTAAGTAAAAAAAAATAAGAAACAAAAAGTTATTTTAAAAATAGAATAGCGTAACTACGTTTATTAATCTTTTCAATTTTGGATTCGTAAATTTCGTCTTGACTTAATTGCTATATCACATCAATTTTCAATTCAGAGCGGATTTTCAGTTAGAATAGTGCAAGTTTGAAAAAAAAAGATTAGGTGATTTAGATTCTCCAAGGAGTCCTACTTTTAATTAAAAAAAAAATTCAGGGAATAGAAAAGGTTTTTTATGAAATTTCATGAAATTAAGTAAGTGTGGAGTAACATATGTAAAAAATATATATATTTTATCCAAATCTTCTAAAAGAAAATTTCAAAAATAATTTCACTTATTTGTGAATAAATTCTGGAAATTTCATTAAACTCGAACAATTACTTGATTTATACAAGAATTTTCAAATCAATGTTTTTTAACGGATAAAGCGCAAAACGTCAATGTTATTATCATATATATATATATATATATATATATATATATATTGTGACGTACCTACGATTTCATTAGCCATATAGGGGTAAGGCTAA